GTGGGTGCGTGGGTGGGGCGTAGAGTAGAGTAGACTGTCGTAGAGTAGTGTGTCATAGAGTACAGTAGAGTAGAGTGTCATAGAGTACAGTAGTGTGGAGTAGAGTGGTGTAGAGTATGATAGAGTACGTATAGTAGAGTGACGTAAAGTAGAGTGTCATATAGTAGAGTGTCGTGAAGTAGAGTAGAGTACAATGTCGTAGAGTAGAGTAGAGTAGACTAGAGTGCGTGTGTATGTGTGTATGTGTGCGTATCACGTGTGTGTGTGTGTATGTGGCCCCGTGTGTGTGTGTGCGTGTGTGTGTGTGTGTGTTTGTGTGTCTGTTCGTTTGTGTATGTGTGTGTGTGTGTGTGTGTGTGTGTGTGTGTGTGTGTATGTCAGGTGTGTGTGTGTGTCTGTCTGTATGTGTGTAGCATGTGTATGTGTGGGTTGGTGTGTGTGTGTGTGTGTGTGTGTGTGTGTGTGTGTCGTAGACCAGTTCTTTTTCAAAGTTGTAGGTCAGCCTCCTGCCCCCCACAGTTCGGACGTGAATCTATGTCGTGCGTCACCATACAAAAAATCCGCACCCCCTAAGAAGTGTTAATGAATTATTTTTTTCCTAATAAATAGTTAAATCACCACTGGCCCGACCGTTCAAAATTTGGGGGGATTGGTAGCACAGGTTCATGAGGGTTACCGGTAGCACAATGGGGAGAGCTGGTTGGCGGCAAAAATGTACATGCATCGAATTGCCGCCGTGATTTTTTTTGCAGTTAAAATAAAATTTTCTAATTTAAAAAATATTTTTTATAGAAAGAGCACTACGAAATCTACATACCCTCCCATTTTCAAATTTCTTGACGTTTTCCTTTCAGCACGAAAATTTGTTGAAGTTGGAGTAGTTTTGCTATTGCCCCGCACATGGTAAAGTGGCAAAAATAGAAAATGAGACGATTTAGCGCTGCGCTTATTTCATGATCATTTATTTTATTTTATTTTTAAATATTTTTTGTGGAAATATCACGACCAAATCCATAGGCCCTTCGATTCGCAGAGTAGTAGAATCATCCTTCTGACCGCAAAAAAATGCGAAAGTTGGGGTACTTTTCYCGTTRGCCAACACGTGCCAGAATGACAAAAATGGAAACTGCAACAAAATGGCGCGGCATTTACTTCACAGTCTTTTTTTTTTTTTTTTTTTTTTTTAATWTTTTTTATGCAAAGATCACAACCTAATCTACACGATCTCAATGTTTCATATTTTTCTTAAATTCGTCTGAGCGTGAAAAATCGCCAAAGTTGGCGCTTGAAAATTGCGAGACTGGATCCGCCTGCCACACTGTGCAATGCTGGGGTTTGAGAAACACAGGCCCATCCTGACCAGCCAATTGCTTGACGTCGGATACATTCATAAAAAGATAGTCCCCAAAACCACACAGGGACCCAACTCACTTGATTGGTTTATTAGACCAGGCAGTTGTGTATCTCAAACTTGCGCATGGGTTCAAACCCCAATAACAACCATTAGCAACGAACTTCATAATATTAATACTTGTGTGTGTGTGCGTATGTGTGTGGGGGTACGTGCGTGCGTGTGTGTGTATGTAGGTGGGTGGGTGGTGGGTGCGGACGTGTGTGCGTGGGTGTAGGGGCGGGGGGGGCACATTCCTTTTTTTCCCCCGCCTAAAAAGGGGAAAAAAACCCCTTGAAAACGACAGGCCGCGCGACCCGAAACGACCGTCGGACGGGAAAAATAAAACGAAAAAAAAAACAATTGAAAAACGAAAACGAAAACGAAAACGAAATAGTGGCCGGACCCGAAACAACAGACGTGCGGCCCAAAACAACGGGCAGGCGGGAAAAGAAAAAGCAGAACGATGGCGAAAAAGAAAAAGAAAAAAAATTGAAAAGCAAAACATAAAACGAAAAAGAAAAACATTTCAAAAACGCTTATACGACCGCAACCGCTTCGAGTTATTCCCTCACATCTACATCCGCTGCAGCCCGACCCCGTAGGCGCGGCCGCTCGTTTCATGGCACGTTGTGAACATTTCGGTATGTGCGCCCCTCTGCACACTCCCCCGCTCTGGATTGCGTTCATCCACTGACCCTCGTCAAAACGTCAACCCCGAATACGGCGTGCAGCGGACTACCGACCTCCCCCCGCGGCCAATGCTCCTTAAGGGATAGGATAATAAATAAATAAAATCCCCCTCACCTTGGCATAAAGCCTCCTTTGATACCACTACAAATGTAAGGATTCTTACAAAATCGTTCATTTTTCCACCACACCCTAATGACGGATAAAACGAACTCGAGAGGCCTGACCAGAGCACTTCCGCCGACGCTATTGTGCTACCGTCTGGCAACGTTGGAGTATCTAGCTATCGTGCGTACCGCCATGATACACCCACGGTAGTATCGAAGCACCGTTGTCTACTCGTTGTAGTAGATCATAGTTAGCGTTTTTAGCTATGGAGGTTGTTGGAGTAGACACATGGAAGGGCCTTGTGTAGTTACGCCGTTTTTTCCTTGGTTCCTTGAAATCGTTGTTAATACTGCCTACCTATGGTTCCACCTGTCTTTCTGATAGTTTGAGTCGCTCTCTGTACTAGTTGTCCGATGAGGTAACTAACGGGTTCTAGGTAACATGGTTGAAGAAAAAATGATTCATGAAGAGAATCGCTCTCCACCGAGAGCTCCAGACTTGACCCCTTAAGATAGCAACAGTCTCAAGGAGCTTGTAATGTTGTGTTATCATGACGGTGTCATGCCTATCGATATTGATCTGGGCGAAATGACAATTGCAGGTAGGGAAGTGAGATTAAGGTTAGCGTGACGTTGGACCAGACAAAAATTGCATGGCTCAAGGAACACACGATCATGTTTATTTTCAGAGTTGGAGCACGCTTCCTCCCAAGGGACGTCAAAAACGATATTGTCCAGGCATACGAAGGTCGCTGATGAAAGTTTCAGAGTTGACTCATTTCAGCGGGGAAGGGTCAAAATCGAGTCTC